TTAAACTTCATTTTCTGTAATAATATGGAAAAGGGTGCTGTCTTGTGAAGGGTATCTGTCGACAGGGAGGTGTGCGAGCAGGCCCTGTCCTGTACATAGCCTATCATGCCGGGTTAGGGGTATATGTATATTTTGGGGCTTTTAGCTTGCTGAAACAGAGCATCTGTTATTTGCCAGATGAAATTGCTGTATGTTAATTTACTTGAATTTATTGGAAAGCAGAAAACTTTTTATATTTGAAGAAGTTTATTTTTTCATCTATGTTTCCTACAGATGCTTTTTTCTTTTTATAGGCTCAAATCTAAACGTCTTTTAAAATGTGTTTGAACACTTTGAATTGATTTGCAGCTAACTTCGGTAATTGGCTTGTTGCATTATTTTATATTTTGCTAAAAGCCCACTTTAATTTTCTCACATGAGAAAACGGGTATTTTGTTGTACAGGTTGTGTCGATACCGGTTTTAAGATGCTGTGTTCTTCACTGGGGTGGAATAGACTTAGTCCCAGTTTAGCTTGACTTCACACCAGGTTGCTCCTACTCTGCACTTTTTAGAACTGAAAGCAGAGTGCAGCTGGAAGCACGCCCTGCCGGGTTCTCTGGTTTGGCCCCTGAAATCTGGGTGCAGTTTCAGGCTGATGCTGTCTCGGGTTTTGGGAGGGGGGTGGGGAGGGCTGGAAGGTACCGATGTGTTTGCAGCTTGGTTTATCAGCGTCCTGCTGTTCTGAGCAGTCCGTGCTGCAGTCAGCATTGCAAGGAGCTAAACACAGAGGATTATCTTTTCCAGTAGCGTTAAGGTCTTTTTCTGATTTGGGAATGTTTACTTACAACAGGACTTCGAACTGAAATATCTTTGACAAAATGTTTTAAACCTTTCCTAAAAGCTCTCTCTAAGTTTTGTTCTAGTTCAAGGTCCATCTGTTATATTTTATGGCAAATTGCTTTATCACCTGCTAAGCAGGGCTTGGGATTTTCTTCCCAAGCGATGTCCAGAACTGCTTAGCTTGCCCAAAGAAAGCAGTAAGTGAGCTTGGCGAGAGGGGAGCTTTTCTGAGGCTGCAGCATCCCTCCTTTGGTCCACACGGTGGAGTTCAAAACATCTTTTCAAGACAGGCTGAACAGTTCAAAAATGTCTTTTCAGTTCCAAGGTGCCCCGTGCTGTGTAGATTCACAGCACAAGAGTCGGGGTTTTTGATTTGGTTCTTAAGCCTGACTTTTCTTTTCTATTTTTTCTAAAATCCATTTAGTTTCGTGTGGTAGTATTTGCAGAAATCCTGCCTTTCCTGGATAATTGTTTTCAGGTAATATTGCTTAGATTTTGTTTGTCTTTTGTATATATACACTTGAGAGAAGAACACGCAGTGGTGGGACATCCCGCTTTCAGGCATGGTTTCTGTCCACTGCAATGAAGTTTGTCTCTAGGGGAGCACAGAGTCTGCTACCATTAATAAAGATTACAACAGCACATTTCGTACGACTGAGTAACAGGGCAGCCTACTTAGTAATGGTTTAAGAACCAGTATTTTTGTCTTAAACTGATATGGTTTCAATGCCAAAAGAGCACTGTGATATGGCAACAGGACTGATTTGTATCGTCCATCCTCCCTTTACGTTTTATGAGTGTGGATTATGACAGATGTTAGATATGCACAGCTTTGTTAAATAAGCATATTTTTTAAATTAATGGATAGTCACATAAAATACTTTGGCGCTGCTTCTTTTTCACAAGGGTGAAACACTATTTTTCATGTCAGTGTACACTCAATTTTTTTTCTTCTTTTTTCTGTAATGTTTACATAAAAGTCTTGTAAAAACCCCACAGGCCAATCTAGCAATTTATAAACTTGTTTCTCCGAGTATACGACACAAAGCCACCCTCTAACCCCGCATTTTGTCGGTGTGTTAGGACCGCTGCTCTGATGTGAGAACATGAGAAGTGTTTCAGGAATCAAACCCAGGTTGGTCTGGGCGGGGGGGAGCTGCTGTGTTTTCGTCAGGTTCTGGGGGTACTGAGTCATAGAAGTTTTCCTTGAAATCTGTGACGTCTGCTACAAGTAGATGGTGCTGGGTGGGGGTCTCAATCAGCCCGCACACCCGTGGCTGGGTGCAGGCCACAGAGAACAAGCTTAGCCCTGACCTTGCCTTGGTTGGTGTTTAAGAGGAAAACTCAAGCTTCACCGATACCTTAAGGAAATGTGGTTTTCAAACATTGATTGCTAACAAACACTACAGAGTCTAGACCAAAATAAGTTTGTAGCATAAAAGAATGTAGCCTACTTGTCTGTTAGCAGTTTTATCTCCGAGTCTGCCGTTCTACAAATACAAATGCATTTAATCATTTACTTAAGTTTCAGTGTAAATATATTCTGTCTCCAGTCGATGTATTTGAAGGATTTTCAATTGCATACCTTATTTTATTATTTTCTTTCATTTCTGAATGATGTGCAGCTGTCCCTGAATGAATCAGTGTGTGCCGACTGGTTGCTTCTTTCCTTCATTATATTTTTGCTTTGCAACATTTAAGGTTCGGTTCAGTGGAAATGTATTCAGTGGATAGAAAATTGCTTTTTACGTTATGATGTGGCCATTTACATGTGAAATAGGATTTCAGATTGAATGGAAATGTTTCACATACTTTCTTTTTGTGGCTGTGTCAGAAATGACCACCTTTCCTCCCACGCCAAATGAGGAGAGGGAGGATGGGGTTGCGGGCAGGAGACAGGAGAGGCAGGAAGCCACCCCAACAAGCACCGTGGCCACCAGCCTGGGCTGGCTGAGTCCAGGGAGGGGGCTACTTCTGACCGTACCAAGGTCATGCTCCTGCTCCCTGTGGGTTGGTGAAACTTAGAGCTCCACAGTCCAGAGGAACAAGACAAGTGAAAAACCTTGGCCTTATATATATATAAAATTCATGGAAGTTAACGTAATCTCTGAATCAGATGTAGATAACTTTTCTCTATCAATATGAGATAATCACTGTTATTCAGGAAACTGATTTACTGAACCATTTAACTTTAGGTAACTTTTGGGTTTTTTTCATTGTTCTCTTGCTGCCTAACTCTCCCATGAGAAAAAAAAAAAAAGAGAACTCCTTCGTCAATGGCATTTTAAAGGATGCTAGGAAATAATTTGACGACTAAGTTGATTTTCTTCCAATTTAATAGAGGCAAGCTTGCTTCAAGTATTTGCCTAAAGCTGCCAGAGTTTACTAGTCCTGTTGAAGGCATACACAGCAGAACAGAGCAGTGAAGGAGGAGATGGAGGGGAAGGGGATAGAACCGAAGCTGTGACAAATCAGATGGGGGTAACGTGCCCTACAAAATAGAGACATTTCCTCTTTACCTGTGACCCGTGAGCAGACGCAGTGGCTGCACTGTAGGTGTAAGGGAAGGGGAAGCAGAATCCAGCCCAACCCTCCCAGCCTTGCCTTCTCACCTCACTGAGGAGTATTTCCCAAAGGCCACAGCCTCTCTCTTGCCAGAGGAGCTCTAGAGCACAACTGGGAGTTCCTAAGAGTTTTCTGGGAGCAGTTCACACTATGTTGTGTGAACCCAGGGATGGCTGTGACAGAAAACTTAGACATAAACTCTCTCTCTCTCTGTAACTATAGACACATAACTGATGCAGAGGTATATAGTGCAGCATTTGGCAGCAGTTACTCACACTCGTTAGCAGCCCCGCAGGGAAAGCCTTGCATTCACCACTATGAAATGCCAGCCTGGACTGGGCAGAACTGGTTATCATTTTAAGCGTGGTTATTAAACATTTTTCTCTTGACTCCTGCCTACACTAAATGGACCGAGGCACTAAAATATGTATTTGCTACAGTGCAATTAAACTTCCAGAGTTAAGAGTGATGACAAAGATACTGATGGGTAAAGGTGACTTTTCACTAGTCTTTTGTTCAGAAAATCTCATCGCCTTTTATGATGTTGAACCACAAAGAGATGAGAACAAGATTTGGGTGGGACTGGCTCGAGATGCCAGGAGCACCTGGTTAGAAGGGGCAGCTTGCTGTCAGTGGCTTCTCAAACCTCTCCAGCTCTTTGCTTTGTGCCTTCTAAATATGTTTATTTAAACAAGCACTACTTTTTTCTGTATCACCAGAGTTGATACATCTTTCTTTTCAATTCATAATCCTGTCTTTATTTTCCAAATCTTGAATGTGCTGTTACTAAAAATTCAGTTCCTGGTATTTTTTGGTCCATGGTCTACCATTCTTCAGATTAATTTTTTCCACTCTCACAGAACGTTTGGAATTGGTAAATACTTAGATTGACCAACATGTCTCATAATAACTTAAAATGGGTCTAAGAATTTATGCTTCAGTTCTATTTTTTAAGCTAAAACTCATGAATCAGCTCAAAGGCAAAAAAATCTGTCACAGCCCTAAGATATCCACTTATACAGGTTCCGCATTGAATTGACCCTCAGTGTTGAATTTGTTTGTTTGTAACAATTCTTATTTGGTTTTTACATATGATTGTTTTCTCTCCTACATGAGTTTCTTTCCATTGTGGAATTTTATGCATTTTTCAGACTACATTTTTTAAAGCACTTCACATTTGTATTTAACTGTTGGGGTTTTTTTTGCTTCTTTTGATTCATTATGTTTACGCATTACACATGGAAAATAATATTTTCATTCTGTTACCAGTTGTTTTTTCTACTTTTAACAGTTTTACACACTTTATAGTCAAAATAAATGTTTGCTGGTGAAAATACAGTTTGTCATTGCCACTAAGATTTTATTTGTCTCGCTTTGTAAGAAGTGCTTTTGAGGGCTATGTCCTAAATCAGTAAAAACTGACCTAATTCTAAAACTTTAGAGATAACCTTTATGTGTGAACAAGCTAATCACCCTGCATGCAATTGTCTGGATTTGTTTCTTAAGAAATATATTCTTTGCAGTCATCTGTTCTGATGACTTCTCACAGCATTAAGGTAGGAGATGAGGTTATGAGGGCGTTTGGCCAAACTGGAGGTGCAAGAAAATCATCCAAGCTTTGCCCAGAGGCTCCAGAAGAATGACACAGCTCTTTATGTCTATTTTCCTCTCCCGCCTTTTCTCTGAAACCTCACCCCGTGCTGCCTCTACGGAACTAAAGAGAGAGCAGCAGACACTTGTAGATTAGGTAAACTTACTTGTAGAGATTCAATCTCTATTATATTTTATCATTTAAAATATTGGGCTGTGCAAAGAACATCGAGATTACCAAAATTAATCCCATTTAACTCAGTCTCAAAAGTCTCAAATAAATGTACCAATATAGTTTCTTTCAATAGGCAGATTTATCAGACTTTTTTTTTCTCCCAAGTGATCTCTAGGCATTTTCTCCCAACACATGAGGTGCCTGAGAAGTGGCCTCAGAAGCAGCTGGAGCATCAGGTTGGGTTTGGGGAAGGTTCATCTATTGTTTTTTTCAATAATTCCTGTAGAGTATATGTTACACCACGACCTTTACTGCTGTCTTATGCATTGCATGCAAAATGCATAGTTCAAATGACCACGTTATTTCTTTATATTTCCACATGCCATGCAAGTTAACTATTTTGAACGTAAAAAGACAAGTAAGGGCTCAGAAAAAAATCAATGCTTAAAGCAAGTGTGCTAACATTTGTATTTGAACATTTGGATGACTAATACTGAAATGAAAGGAAACATCATAGGATAGTTTCATTGTTTTCTTTGAGAGAGAGAATACACGTCAGAGAAAGAAAAGTCAAAACCACAAATAGTTTAATTTATACAGAGAGAAACAAAATATCCACATTGCACATTTTCATCTAAAAACTGAGTTTATCTAAAAAAGGCAACTTGGGATGTCTAATGGCCATCTTCCGGCTGTTCGGTTTATTGGTACTGAAAGTAACCATACACAGAAAAATACGTAGGGGGGGTAAAACACTATTTATTTGGGTTTTTTTGTACAACCGCAGATGTTACTTCAAAATCTGTAATCTCTACTATAAAACTTTTCTATTTCTGGGACTTAAAATTCCCTTGACAGTGGCTGCTAGCCTTTTATTTTAATTTAACATAGAAGGAGGCAGGCTGAAATAGGCTTCATATAAAATGACGAATGCAACACAAATTGGAATGGAAAATGAAGAGGTTATTCCACGTGGCTTATTCACAAGAACCCAGTGATCACACTTTTACAAAGACTAACATTTAAAAGTTGTCAGGGGTGGCAGGTTTTCATAAGAACAGCCTCCCACCTGTATTTCTACAATTGAAGTTAAGAGCTGGGGGAGGCTTAGCATGACTGCGCATCAAGTGATGAAATCTGCTTAGGGATGCTCTGGAATTCATTTACAAGTATAAAAGAATAGCTACAACTGAAGTAAATAAACTCTTCCTTTTTTATTTGATGACTGAAGACACATTATTTCACTGTACATCATACATAGAAATTAAGTGGGGAAGGAGGATGAATCACAGAAACTCTTTATTAAAAATAAAAAAAAGGGACAAGTGCCTTTTTTCCCCTGCCAGAAAGGGAGAAAAGGCAAAAGGCATCACCTGTGTATTCTGTAAGCACTATTGTTCCAGCTCGTGTTGCTATGCACACCTTTAGAAAGAATGTACAACCACTGTGTTAAAAATGCCTCACTGAAACCTTGGTGGAAAGATTTCTTGCTGGTTTGATTTCTTCTTCATTACTTATTTTTGTCTCAGCTGTCTGTGCAGGAGGTAAATTGATGCCAACACTCCACAGCTCGTGCGTTGCCCATTCATGGCCCTTTCATGTTCTTAGCAGCCCTCTGTCCAGCCTGCACTCTGCACGACGAGGGCTCGCAGTACCCGGGGGGGCCGGGAGGGCCAGGAGGACCAGGAACCCCCGGCTGACCTGCCACCCCCGGGAGACCTCGGGCACCGTCGCGGCCTTCCCGGCCGTAGCTGGGCTTGCCTGGCTCACCTGGAAAAGTGGATAAAGGTCTCAAAATTGTCAAATACATGTAGCTTTACTGAACATCCTTTCCTTAAAAAGCTGTATGAAGATGGCTTTTTAGTGCCGTCAGTGAAGTGCCTACTTAGAGGGACAGCTTTCCTCTGACAGACAAACCAGGCTGTGTTTACACATCTACAGCAATGACATTTGAGTCCCCAGCCTCTCCAGTCATCCTGGAGCATCATCTGCTGCTGTGAACTGCAGTGTAACTGACTGCAGCACTGCAGACAGCCCTCCTGGTGATGTGTATGGAGGTGCAGATGCTACTCACTACTTCAGAGTAGCGCTGGCACTCCAGAAAGAGATGTATCAAGAACTTATTTTCATTCTCCACTCAGATGTGTCGGGGAAGTAGATGCATAGAGTGGAATGCTTCAGCACTAAAGTATCTTTTTACTTCTAAATCTTCACTGAAGGGATGAAATACAGCTGTTTTAGTCTCTTCCAATGATAAATTTCTAAAGATGACAACTCCAAGTTTCAAAGACATCGTAGGTGTCAGTATATACTCAACTTTTTTTTTTTTTTCTTCTTTTTACAAAGAGAACAAATGTTGGTACTTTCTGTCTACAAATACACACAGAAAGGTGCTACAGAGACTGGAGGAAATAACGTTTATTTCCCTTCAATGCCCGCTAGAGGGCAGTCGTGCTGCACCTACCAGCAAGACACTGTCCCCGACTCCTATTACGTAACAGCGCAATTAATTACCACCCAAACAACAAAAAAATTGTACTTAGAATGTCCTAAATTATGAATGGAGATTTTGAAGGCTGCTGTGGGTGCCAGTGAGATTATCTGGCGTTTGTGACCTTTTTGTTTGTTTTATGTTACATATATAGTTTTTTTATATATAAAAAGAGGCAATTTTATCTATCTCTGTGTGAGAGAGATGGCCTCCTCTTTTTTTTTTTTTAATGTTTTGTATAGCTTTTTCCTAGTCTTTCTACAATGAGTTAAATGGGGTGGTAGCTCTTTTAGTAAAAAAGCTTTCAATTCTAATTTGTGACTGTATCATTACCTATGAAGTAAAATTTATGAAGTACTGTTATTTGGAAGTTTATTGCTTAATGGGCATCTTTTATCTTTTCAAGGCAGCTTGAGGCATCAGTTCCAAGATATTTTATCGGAATAAACTTTTACTCTCTTATTTATCCTCACTTTTAATATTTACCTGGAAGACCTCGTGGTCCAGGGTAACCTTTCAGTCCTCTGCCTGGGAATCCTCTTTCTCCTCTTTCTCCTGGTTCACCTGAAGCAAATTCATGAAACATTAGTTACAGCCCACTTGGAGTATTGCTTTCATTAAGTCCCCTCTCTGAGCTGAGTGGAGAACAAGCAGAGAATTCAGGTGGATGTATGAAGTCTTAGCATCTCTGAAGGATGTCCTGACACATGTTCTTGTAAGAGGTTTGGGATTTGTTTGGGGGGGGTTCTCCCATTTGAGTCATACTCAGAAGTAGATGTGTTGGAAGGGAAAATAATCACTTGGGGCTGGACAGTAAGCACCACACAAAACATACCATTGCCTATATAACAGAAATAAACCACACTCACAAAACTACAAAGGCTATTTTAGAGTACAGACTGAGGGTACTGGCAAATGGCTTTTGCAAGACCACATGAACTCTGCTAATGAGTAGAAATGCTCAACTGCTGGTCCTTGAGTTAGCTAATTCAGAGAAGAAAGCAGAAGCTGGCTTGCACATACTACAGTGTTCTGTTGACACCCACGCAAGATGGTCATAAAAGTAAAACAAAGGACTTCTTTCACATATACTGCTATTATGGAAACTTTTCTTTGGTGGGTGCCCAGCTTCTATTCAAATTCACATGTTGCTCCAAACAAGAAGCATCTTACTAAGAGGAAGCTTTCTTTGTTGTTTTAGTTGTCAAGTTCAAATTCTGTTTACTGTATATATTCCACAGCAGTACAGGTATCTGCCACTCGTGGATACCCTGTGTCAACTCTTGATTGTATTTTTTATTTTCACTGCAAGTCAAAAGCTGAAAGTATATGCCTAATAATGTTTGAGTGAGCTTTATTTTATGCTTCCATACTTTCTTGTACTGCAGTGAGGAGAGTCGGAAGAGCCTCTTAAGTGTGGGGCTTGCCTAGAAATGGCACAGCAGAAAACAGGAGCTATGTACAGAAACACAGGAGCTGGTACAGAAGTCCATGTTTCAATAGAAGATGCACACAGGGTGCTAGAGGAGGAATCTGGTCGCTGTGCTCCAGACTGCCTCGTCAGCACAGAGATTCAGCCTGTCTCTGTGACTGCAGCTCCTGGAGGCACCGATGGCTGGTTACCCATACACACTTCCACTATTGCCAGCTTCTGAGCACTTTGGCCTAGTGTTTACTGCTGGTTATCCCAAACTTCCCCAACTTCTTATTTCAGATTCCGCCATCCTTCACTATCCCAGATTGCTCATTAGAGTCACTATAACCTCCTTCCTTGAGCCAGATCTTTTTGACTCTTCTGTTGTTGATGCTTTTAAAAACACAGTTCCTTTGTATCGTCTGCTCTCTCTCAGGGTTACACATCCTGTATCTATCATGCTCTTCTAAACCATTCTTGACACCCTCTTCCTTCTCCCTTGTATTAGATATCCTTGGGTACCCTTTTCCTCTCATTCCCATCTCAGACAAGTCCCCAAATGGATGGGGAAAGTCAGTTAATCTCTGTGACTTCTGTGGAACTCTGATAACTACCAGGCACTCAGAGTGAAGCACTGAGATATTTTTTTCAGTGTGCCTGTCTATGTACCATCATGATAGCACCTGCATACGAGAGCATTCACCACTTCTCCTGTATCTGTATTTCAAGGTTCACTGTAAGGTAGCTTGGAAGTTGATGACAATTACGATAGGAAACAAAGCATTTTACTCCTTTGGGGCTTTTTCAGTGCTTTGTAGATTTATTTATTTTTTTAGTATTATCCCAATTAGTATTATCAAATACAGCTTGTCATACCACCTGTATATCTCCATTTTTTGTTGCCTCTGCAAATATATGACATCACCTTAAATGAAAACAGGAGTAGAGCTCCAGCAACAATGCTGTTAAGGTTTGCTTTGTTTGTACTCTGTTTCTTCTCTCAAAGGTTTTCCCAATTTTACTTTCAAATAAAACTTGAGACAAAAGTAAATGCTCTAATCCAGGGAGGGACGGACCAGCTTTGTGCAGAAATACAATTTTTAAACAAAACCTTCCTTCAAGAAACGTATTGAAACCTCTGCTGAATAGAAACTACTACATACATAGTGGTCATAAGGCTTTGCCGAAAATTCTACTGAATATCATTTGGAGGAACATAAACCCTCTCAGTGAGGAACAAAAGAGATTAACTTAGATCAAAGATTTTTGTAAAGTGTAAGGTAAGTCAATTTTATGACGGATCTGTTCTTGCCAAAGAATCAATATATTGTGGTACAGGGTGCAATGATGTTAAATGGCTCAAGTATTATACCCAAGTAAGAGGCAGATTGTTATCAGTCACTTGTAATGTGAGAAACTGAATAAACTTAGAAAAGTAGGCTAGAGATTTGTGAATGAATCTGACTGTCTATGTTTGCTTTGGGGACTGCAAGTCACAGAAGTGAGGGTCACAGCTGGACGGAGTGGAGGACAGACGGAAACGCTGCTGGAACTTCTCAGCGTATGAAAAACACAACCTCAGAAGTCCATGAGAGGGAAAATTAATATTAAGAAACTGACTCATCTGCTTACTACTAATTCAAGGCAGGTGCCTATTCCTTCTCATACTGTGTAAGTGACTTGACTACAAAAACCAGATTTATAAACGTGTCTTGCTGAGGCCAGGCCAATGTACTCTTTAATCACTGGGGGAACTGGGGCAACAGTTACAGGAAACAGCTTACGTTCCTCATTCAGAGTCTTTTTGTGAAAATGTACATCCACAACCAAAGGAGAAAAGAGAAAAAGAAAAAATCCCACCCACTCACAAAAAAAATGGAGCAGTCAACAACGGAAAGCCAGTTACAGAATGTCTTACCTTTAGGACCTTTACGACCGATCTCACCAGGGGGACCTTTAAGGCCAGGCAAGCCACGGGGGCCAAGCTGTCCTGGGAAGCCATTTTCGCCAGCAGGCCCTGGAGCACCTGGTGGCCCAGGTTGGCCAGGAAGACCTGGAGCACCAAATTCTGGCCTCTTAAGACTGGCTGCCAGCTGAGCTAGTTGTTCTGCAATGAACAAGAAGGCAGGATTAAGGAGTTGGTGGACCTGAAGAGAGAGATTGACTGAAGAACATTTATTCTCTTCTGCAGAAACTGACAGATTCCTTATGTACAATGCAATCTACAGAGTTTGTTACATATAAGATACTATCTTGGTACTACTAGAGGGAAACCACAGGCACATTGTGAAGCTGGTCACTCTGCCAACATCTTAAACATTTAATGTTTGCAAGCTGAAAGGTCTTGAGAGTATATGGTTCATTTAGAAATGCCCTCATAAATTTCAACCATATAGCAAGAAAACTTACGCAATTGCTGCCTCTTAAAAGAGCTCTCTTCATTATGACCTGTTAATCCTTATTAAGATCTGTCTGTGCAATAAAAACAGCTAAAAAGCATGAGGGCAGTCATCTACAGCGGCCTGCAAAGTAAGTGCAGACCACCTTTTTCAGAAGGAAAAAACCCTCAAATTGGTGCTCATGGGTTCAAGTTTGATAAATTATTGAACATTTTATGTTGATTCTTAAAGTAAATCAGCAGGAGCTTTGCTCTTCATTAGCATAGGATCAGCTTGCCATTCCTTGGAATGGTCTAAGCTAGCTATTCCCTTTTCCTCATCTCTCTTTCCAGCCATTGCTGCAAATTCATGAGAGCCGACCTCTCTTTCCTTAACGTTTCTATTCTGGATTCAAATCCATCTTCCAAGCATGCCTGTGAAATAACTCTCTCTGGATACAGCCACACAAAACTCCATATGACATTTGCTATGACTTGGCAAGACTAGTTATTTTCTGTCTACAAGCAAAAAAATTAAGAAGATAGGGGTGGTAAGCAGATGTAAAGGACCTGAAAAAAACCTCAGGAACTATGGCTAGCAGATACATGAAGAAGACTGGGGATAGCAATCTGCAGGCAAAGCCTGCTCAGGACATGACCTTCAGTTATGGCTGTCTTTAAGCAGACAAGGTTCCAGAGTCACACTTGGATTGATTTCTTTTTTTTTTTTTTTTTTAAAGGTTGGTTTTTTTTTTTTTTTTTTTTTTTTTTAAAGCATGACAGTATTGACTATTGCTGAGGCTCACCAGAAGGATGCAATGAAACCAATCTAGATTTTTCCCATAGCCTTCCCTTCACTGCTAATTGTGATGGTTATCAATAAATTCAACCATCATACCCAATTTCACTCTCATCCTCTTCAGTACTACTATGTCTTTCAATAGACCACTTTAAAAGGCCTTTTAATCCTATTTATAGAAAGTTTAAAAAAAAAACAAAAACAACTCTGTTGTGCAGCGTCAGGAACAGTAATGACTACTGAGAATTTTTAGATTAAATCATGAGCAGCAATTTCACTCTGGTAAACTCTTAACATTACGAAGGTATAACACCCCAAAGGGCATCTTCAGTATCAAGTACTGAAAAGTTTTTTTGTGCAGACAGGGCAGCATAAATTTTTAAACTTAGTTAATTCCATGCCCCCAAGTGTATTAAAAAAGCTCCAGAATTCTGTGTATGTAAAGAAGAACTAAGAAAATATAATCAGGGTTTTGAATATCTGCCTGTAGCTTTTATTTTGGGATATGTTATCTACATAAAGCTTCTCTCTGCAGTCCTCTTTTTTTTTTTTAACCTATTTTTCACATAGTCTGACTGATAGCATACAAATGGTAAAACAACCTTTCCATGAAGGGACTTTTATACAAGTACTTCTGTTGTGTACTTTTATATAAGTAAACATAGAATGATTTCTATAAAAAAATATATGTATTTCATAAAAACACTCTGGTCTATCATCTGGTTACTATAGTAATAGTGTGTAACCAACAGGTGTTTCAATGAGGCTGCAAAGTGTATATAAAATAAAGGACTTGTTTCTCAAATTTTCTCATATTTTGTCCACATTCACATATAGGAAGCTTTTCTGCCAGGTCCCCTGCTGAGGCTGTGGTATTTGATCTAGGTAAGACTGAGAAAAATCTTGTTTGCCTCCACAGCAGTAAACTAACCTGATTTAAATGCACAAGAAACATCAAGTACTTTTTAGCATATTTACCTTGCATGACTCTCATGCAAACCTGCTTAATGTGCTGATCGGTTGGTTCTTTTCCCTAGGATTAAAAAAAATAATAGTTTAAAAAACAGTTGATATCACGGTAAGCTTTATAAGTGTGCCTGATGCAAAACAATGCCGGCAGGTCAATAAAAAGGTGTTCCAGTCCCTGCAAGTGCAACTCTTACAGCTGAAGTGTGGCAAGGCAGGCGCTCGGTGTGATACCACCACGTAGCAAACATGGCACGTGTGCCCTACAGGAGTGGGGTGGGCGTTAGGAAATGGAACTGCACTGAAAGGTGAGGAGCCAAGGCCCTACCTGCACACAGCCCTGTGATTTCTCTGCTGCACAAATATGCCTGTTGGGTGGGATGGTGTATTTCAAACTCTGCTGTGGCACCTGGGTTTTGTATGCGCGCACATCTCCTGCTGCAAGAAGTGGTGTGAGTAACACTAAGTGTTCAGAAGATGAAACGGGTACTTACAGCTGGCCCCTCGCTGCCAGGCAGCCCTGGGGCACCCTGTTCACCTTGCAGACCTCGGGGCCCAGGGGAGCCCCGCGGCCCCTCCACGCCAGGCAGCCCCCGGCTTCCCTCCGGGCCACGGGAGCCAGAGTCTCCAGGATTGCCAACCTGACAGGGAAAGAGAGGAATTTCATCAGACTGCCATACTAGTGTCAGACTCGTCCTGACATAGCAAAATGGTGACAGGAGCTATTCATAAACGCAAAGCAATGAATGCTGGGATGTAGAGAAGAGCTTCTTTTTAAAAAAGCGACTGGAGTCAGTGATTGCGTGATTTATAAAATTACAAAGAGGTCTGTATTCCTCACTTAGAGGGGAAAAGTTGGAAAATAAGTTATTCTGTCTAAAGAGGCAAATAGGCATCCATAGTGATGGTGCACAAGACATCAGTTTTTTGTCAAGGAACAGATCTCCTATGCCCTCATGCATGTGACATACAACTTCTCTAGACTCCGAGTGCTCCTTAAGTTACAAAAATTCCAGCTCCCTGCTTGCTCCAAATGCCTTTCATGCCTCTTGCAGAGAGTACCACCACATAAGCCTGTATTGTCCAGCCCCAGGCTGCTTGGGAATACACATTTTTGCTTTGTTTATGTCTGTCAGAGTTCACTGCACACAGGTTTTAGTGCCTACACTTGAGCTTGCTGGCACAGCGGAGGGAACATCCTCACAGAAAGTGATGCTGACTGACCTGCCTGAACAGATGCACTGACAGCTTATTTCACTCAGGGAAGGGGCAGGAAGAGCTATTTTACCAGTAAAGCTTCCTGACCCCTGGGGAATGAAAAGGTTGATGTGGTTAAAATTAGTATGTCCACTTATATACATTTAGCAAATAAGCTATAGTTTCTGCTCCAGTAAATTTTCTGAAAGTGATTAAATATGCAGAGTGAGACCTATACCAACAAACACATCTGAGCTATTTTCAATATAAGTTATTTTACTATTACTAATCAATAGTAGTACTAATAAAGAACAGTAAGAACTAAAAATAAAAAATCAAAAAAAAACTTACCAAAAAATCCAAAACCAAAAAAAAAAAAACCAAAACAGAAAAACGAAAATCCTGTATACTTATGGTTTCCCAAAGCTCGTGGTAGAAGGAAAAAAACAAACAAACAACCACAAAATAAAAAAACACTGAGAGATGTTCAAGAACGTTGAACTTACTCAACTGTGGTACCAGTTAAAACCACAAGATGGAGCCATCTCAGTCCCATTTACACTGCTCTCAGACAGCTAACTGCTGTCCCTAGCAGAAAAAAAACAACCCAAAGAACACACTTCAATAGATAGATTAAGATGACAGCAAAATTCCCTTCATGGACTATACAAGCCATCATTCCTTTCTTGCCCAGCCTGGTGAGTTCTCAGGTTCTCTGACGGATTACTCATCCCTGTGCATGCACTCACAAAGATGACAAGCACACTAAGGTCTCGCCAAGAAAAGATGATTTTTAAAAACTAGGGGGATAGAACTACAGAGCTGTCCTGTCCTTTACTTCTTCCTAATATCCTTCCCATAAATCTTGATCGGCAGTACACAGGCTGTAGCTTGCATTGGCTTAGCTTCAAAGTCACAGTGGCTACTAGGAACACAAGCACAGCTCCTGTCCCGTGCAGCGTCACTGCTGATGTGTTACTTCTTTTTTCTTACATGACATACAAGCTTCTGCTCACCTTCCACATAAAAGCTATCATTTTGTTATTTCTGGGGGGGGAAAAAAAAAAAAAAAAGGCAAAAAAAGGCATCTTGGCCAGATCTACTTCTGCTTTCACAGAAATCACAGCCTTGCTGCCAGGTTTTTCACAGTGTACAGATTACAGGCTGCATGTGGCCACTGCACTGAGCCTCCTTTCTACACAACACTTACTGTACAAAGAGTACATTCATTTCCTTTACAAAAAACCAAAAAGCCAGAAAACTGCTGTTGAATAATGTTTCTTTTTTATGGAGCTTAGAATTCAGGATGTTAATTCCTTTCCAAAACTAATTCATTTTAATATCAACTATATTCAAAATTTAAACTGAAGAAATGCTGTTGGAACTCATTCCATTTAACTGTGATGAAGAGCTCAGATCATTATTTCTATTTTCTTTCTTAAATCAGAAACCCATCTATCTGATCTACTAGATCTCTGTATTTCTGTAACAGTGCTATTCATTATACTTACAGCTCCCTTGGCTCCTGGTAATCCCATATCACCCTAAGCAAAAATAAGACAAACTATATTAAAAGAGAGTATCCATTATCATAGAGATTACAAATGCAGTAAACTCAACACGATTTTTTTCACTATAAAAAAAAAGCTCACATATTTAGTTAACCTATGCAAGATTGCACCTCAAATTAATTACAATTCATTTGTAAATAAACCTTAAATTTCAGATTATTTTGGTGAAATTCCTTTCTCAAGAACATTTCTGTAATGTACAAATAAGAAAGCATGTTTATTATAATCGGCTTTGTATTGCTTATCTTAGAATTAGACACGTGGCTCTAACCTCTCAAACCACAGTTACAGCACAGGACAATCTTGGCAGATTGCCTGGAGACCTTTAGAGGAAGCATTATTTAATTAGGAATTTGTAGTTTGACAGAATTATGGATCTTTTACAGTGTTGTGTTAGCCCTGACAAAACTGCAACAGAAACTAGGCAGGTGTCTACCCAACGTGCTATGAAGCAGCTAAACCCCTAGAAGTTCCTGTTCTCAGCAACCTGGCTCCTGGCTTGAACAACCCCGAGATCCCTCCATTGCTCGACTGAGAATAGCAGTCCAACTATTCACAAGTTTTTATTTTTTCCCTTTGAATTGGTATTTAAAAAAATGCAGTAAACTCAACACTCCAGCAATACCTTATAGTTTTAATTTATGACAACAAAATATTAGATCAGATTAAGAGAAAATAATGCCTTACTAAGTCACCCTTTTGTCCTCCATCTCCTTCTGCCCCAGGTGCACCCTGTATCAAAAAAAGACATACTGTGAGCCTTCAGATTTAGTCAATGTAATGTACCTTGAAAGGACCTGTACCATGACTTACCTGTTCACCCTTTGGTCCTGGTTCACCCACCGAACCCTAAAAGGTTAAAGATTAAAGAAAAAATAATATTAAAATAAAATCAAAATTTGAAACTGCAGATTCAAAAGCATACTAAATTATCTTCAATCCTCCCTACCATCTATTATTAATGCAAGAGACCTTTAAAGCTGCAAATTTTTAAGACAGACAATGAAAGCCCTTAAATCTTACTATATAATTAAGGTAACAGACTAAGGGGAGGTAACAGCATAGAACATACAATCCACTGCCACACTGAATGGTAGAGATTCTGACTGTCAAACAGTAGGTCTCCCCTTTACATGTTAGATGTTCTTGCAGCTGCTAGAACTCTGCTCTGCAAATTAGTTAGAAGGTATAAGCAAAAAATGCAGTAAGTATATCACTTTTTCTAGCCCTACGAAGTATTCAGTAGGCCGTACCAGCCCTGCTAATGCAGGGTAAGCACACTGAGACATCCACAAGTTCAGTCACAAGCTGTCTTGCTTGCTGTTTAATTCTCAGTGTTTTTTAGCAGAACCATCTCTCGAATTTTGACCATTACGGTCAAAGCTGAATAACTTTTATCTTTTAAAAAAATAAATAAATTATGTTTTATCTTAGAATCCTGTAACAAAACGTACTTGTGTGAACAGGCAGGAACCAAAGAGGAATAAATTAAAGACCTGATTCATTTCAAACATATGCAACTTGTTTCTATAGTAAAAGTATTTCACTTTGTTGTTTGAGTGTGTTAATTAAGAAAATCTTAGTATTTGTGGTCTGTTAGAAAACCAATCACACCATCCTTAAATGTTCTTTGCAGTCTGAGCACATTCAAACATATACGTTAGAAAAGAACTAGAACTGTGCATGAAAAAAAATTTCTAAAACAGCATTTTCTCTCCCATTTCAGAGATCTATTTAATTCATATAAGATATGGGCACACAAACCAGTGTAACATCTATAATTTAATGAATTCAAATTTGTTCTTATTTTTCCGAGGACAAAGAGCTGATACCAAATTATCCATAAAGCTAAGCAGTAGAACAATCCAACCTTGTCAAACAACACTGAGACTATTTTGTCTGACGTGTTCTCAAAATCATGTCTTATTACAGTTTCCCAATTATCACGCAAAAAGACACTGTTTTCCAATTTAACATCATTTTGGGGGTTCTTCTTCTCCACTTCCAACCGCATCCTGGGCTGTATCAAGAGAAGTATGAGGCAAGGGAGGTGATTCTACCCCTCTGCTCTGCTCTGGTGAGACCCCACCTGCAGAACTGCATCCAGCTCTGGAGTCCTCAGCACAGGAAGGACATGGACCTGCTGGAGCAGGTCCAGCTGAGGGCAACAAAGATGATCAGAGGGCTGGAGAACCTCTCTTATGAAGACAGGCTGAGAGAGTTGGGCCTTCCAGTACCTAAAGAAGGCTACAGCAGAGATGGGGAGGGACTCTTTATCAGGGAGTGGAGTGATAGGATGAGGGGTAATGGCTTTAAATTGAAAGAGGGGAGATCCATCCCCTGTAGCCTCCTATAAACAAAACAAGGAACATATTTTTTATATATATTCACTGAAATTTATTCAGCAAAGCAAAGCAATGTATCTTCTGCAGGTATGTGAGATCCCCAGGACCCAGTTCTTCCTACCAAAATACTAGAAGAGGTATTTATACCCTGTAATTGTGTGTATGCATAAGTGTCAATAGCTGCATTAGCCTGTCCATAGCAGGTCCTAACACATACATAAAAGGCATCGTGTCTACTGTAGACCAGGGCTGAATTTCCAAAGTTCTTTAGTGATCAGAGATCCTGACTTACAATTTCAGATCTGGCTGAGTCAATGATTTGCAATATGATTTAGGCCTTTAAATGATTCAAATTCCCTAAAAATGAAACATTTGTGCCAGTAATCTTCTTTCAGTCCCTTAAGTAACACTGTCAAGACTTTTCCTGTATATTTTATGAGGTACAAGTAGTTAATGGGCACCTAGAGCACCACTTTCCTACATACAAACCAAGAAGCCAGACATTAATTCCTATAAAAAAAACTGCAAACAATGCTCCAATTATTGTATTTACTCCTGACATCAAACTGCTGTCTATATGCATGACTGCATTTCTTACCCGGTCACCCTTACCACCAGGTAGACCTGGAGGACCTGGCAGTCCAGGAAGTCCAATATCACCCTGGGCACCCTGTAAAAATAAGCCAGTAAGTATAAACTTAGTCAATTTGTTTCAGAATGAACAACCAAGAGTCATACCCTGACAAGCAGATGGGGCAGAATCTTATTCACAGAACACTCCTAACTTGAAAGAGGATTATCTGAGGAAAACAGAGCTCATCCAAAATACAGACCTTTAAAAGGCATCTTACTATGTTTTTATTGCTGACAAACACAAGAGAAATGGCTTATAGAGATATCTACCCTCCAGTCCCTCAACGACAGTCTGGTTCTCTTAAAAATACCTCCTAAGACCTTGTGCTCTATGATTTGTGCATTCCTCTGTAACAGCAGGTTCTTTCAGCCAGCGATGTTTCTGACTGTTACTGTGTAAACACTGCTAGAGCTCTGGTAAAAGGTGGTATTCATAATCCTCTCCATTCATTAGTTTCATGCAGCTGTTAGCAGAAAGCTGGTCTTTCACTGCTCCCATTCCCCCAGTACACACAGTCCACACAAGAGTGTGCAACCCAACTTTGCACATCACAGGATTTATGGTTTTTTAAACCGAAGAAAAAGTCCCACACATCTCCATATACTTTAAAACAGCATTTGCTAATATTAGCACAGTCACAGAGGACTGAAAAAGAAACTCAACAGTCACTCGTTTCAACATTATTTTCAGTTCCCTGCACAGATAAATGGGTAAGTGTAGTTCCAGATGATACCATAGCTTCTTGAAAGTAAATACAAGCACTGAATATGGAAATAAACTGCTTACCAATTTCCCTGGTAAACCTGGAGGACCTGAAGGACCTGGCTCCCCTCTGCTGCCCTTATAGGAAACAAGGACATCATTATTTCCTGAACTATTTCCTGTGAACAGGGAATAAAGTACGACTTTGTTCTTAGTGTTTAGTGAATTACACTACTTAGCAGTTGGCTTTACTCATAACTTCTATTTATTAGTGCAAAAATATCACATACATTAAAAACAGTGAAACTCCCTGAGAAATGTAAACAATTTTAGTTAACAATGGCACACAACACTTAGGTGGCAAGAAGTGATTCAGCTAATTCATTCTGCTAAGTGATTACACACCATGAAGTCCTCAGCTAATTCATTCTGCTAAGTGATTACACTTACCTTTATGGGACTGGACCTGAGAGTTACCTGGCACAAACACATTTACTTCACTAAGTCAACTCTGACACACGTGTAGATTTAGGCTTTTGCTTAGTTTCATCAGCTCAACTCTCACACAACCGCACACTTCAAAGCATGATCCCACGTGAACAATGGACAAATGTGAAAAGTGCATGCAGAAGTCATGCTTAAAATCATTTAGATTAAAAAAAAAAAAAGTCTATACTGTTATAGGGAAGGACAACCTTTGAATATCCCCATTCATAATGGTGATAGGTATAAATATGGCTTTTACTGGATTCTTACTTTATATCTTCACTTCAGATATGTTTATCCATTCAGATCATCATATTCCTATTCATGTTATAACTCTATCTCCTAATGCAGCCATTTGAATATATACTCTGGGTAAACCTGTCATTGAGTCAAATTTTCAATTATTGTAAACCATTTTCAAACTAAAGTACCTTTCTCAAGGGGTTTTGTCTCTTATGATTAAACCTTTCAGAACAGCTCATTAAGATGTATAAATTTACTGTCACCTGTACAAATAAATTCAAATACTGTCCCAACACATGCCTGTCTCACTTGAGACACTCTTCTTACTTTCACTGTATGAATACATGAGGGGTATGTGCTACAAAAGCATGATACAGCATTTAAGATCATAAAATATCAAGAACTGAAGATATTAAATATGTAAGTAGATAACCTGTAATATGTAACTTAGAAAATATGGATAAAGGCAGATCTAAGCATTCTAGTGCTGCATACAACAGATAATTTTAAATTCATATATTTTCTTCATAATAAGAAAATATTGTGAAATATTGTGACATATTCAATACTAAAAGGAGATGGCAGACATGGCCTTTTACACCAGGTCATAAATGCCATGACAAGTTCTCACACAAGCTTAGGAAAACTAACTCCACAATTCAAAAAATAATTAGGTATCCTGGAGAGATCAGAGAACCAGACATAAACAGACTTTTTCATTAGTTTCCTTTAAAATCTGCTATGGTGTTAAAATCACTATCCTTTTAAAGCACTTTGATTTCTGAAGCTTCTTTATGTTAAAAAAAAAAAAAAAAGCCCCCCAAATCACCTTCATCTTACAACCCAGAATATGCATCAACATTTTTGAAAATTTCTTATTTAATCCCATAATTCTGTACTACATCTCCAACCTGGAATACTACTACATTTCTGATGCAGAAAAGAGGATGATTAGTATTATGATCAGTATTAGAAACTCGTCTCCTCATATATACTATAACATTCATGTCTGATTTCTATACAGCTGTAAAAAAAAAAAATCCCCCAAAAAACCCAACAAATAAACCAATGTCACCTTCCATAGAGTTAAAAATCATGTAATAAACCTCCTAAACACATCAAAGGTTGTGCTGGCCATACCAAACACAAGAAAAATATTCCATTTGATTTTAAATGCAGAAAATACCAAATATACACTACAGGCCTTTTTTGAAACACCAATGTTTTTTCTAAAGTGGTAAAAAAAAAGTTAGTATACAGAAGACTGGAATACAAAAGGACAGTATTTCCTGTAGATGCTGACATTACATCTGTAAGGACTTAGTTTGAAGATTACTTCAAACTAAGGGCCACCGTTAGAAGATGTGGAGTGGTTGTGTTTTAGCAAGTAAGCAGGGAACTGTAACCCAAAGAACAATCAGGAATCCCGTGGGCCTAACTTAAAAGATTGTAAAGCCTCCTCTAGGTTATACCTGACTGAAACGGCCCTGGGGTAGGATTTATGCTCAACTACTTACTCTTGGTTCCCTTCATAGGGGATGAAGAGAAAAAGCCATCTTGAAATGTCCTCGTGTAAACATTTAAAATACACCACAAGTCATGTCCTAGAAGCATCTTCGTTGTTCCACAGCCTATCAGAGGGAGTCTGCAATAACTGGCTCAGGTGTTGACATCTGTGAGATGAAACCTTACTCTGTGCTCTCTACATGAGGCCATGTCCTCAGCCCTTCTTACACAGCGGCTTTTCCTAGAGGTGGAACACGTTAAGAGGGCAAAAAGCTACTCTAGTTTAGCGTGAGCTGGGACTTTTAATATATATCATACCAATTTTTAGCACATTAAACAGCAGTGCCACAGAGAATTAAATCTGTGCAGAATAAAAAAGAATAAGCAAAGTACATTTTGGAATGAACATTTTAAACTTAGTATTTCAAAGTCTTTTGCAAAATGTAACCCATTTATAAATTATATGCTTGTGAGGCTTCAACATACCATTATTTTTTTCATCCAAAATCTCAGAGGAATTATTAGTTTAAATGCAATAATTTATCATGGAAGCATCAACAGGACTCTTCCTTTGACCTTCAGCACAGAATTAAAAAGCATCCAAAAATAAAAAGCTGTATATTTGCTAGAAGAGCAAATATACAGCAAACTTTCTCTGAGATTTTAAATGCACTTTTCTCAGACAAATAATTAAATTTTACTCCTTGGGATAGTGGTAAGAGATGGTTTAGCAGGCAATGTACCTTCCTCTTAACTGTGGCTTTGGGCATCTGCCCAGTAGCTGCCATTCCCTTCAAGGGTGATACTGTGGGCATAAAGGAGTGGGACCTTTCATACTGGCTGTATCTGTAGCGTTACCTGAAGCCTAGGACAGCTTCAGTACACTAACTCCCTAACAGTGCGTTCTTCACCCAGGTTATGATCTACACTGCTTAGGAGAAGCCAACATGGGGATACCTGCTGACATCCACAGGTCTGGCATGCCGGAAAGGCAAGGAAAGCTGTTGGCGGAGACGGGTGGATAGTATGAGACCTGGAGAGGCCTGGAGATATGAATCAGGTGTGGCTGGGATATGTAGTCTGTGAGTAAGAAAGGAAGAAGTGCCACCCTGTACAAGCCACGCTGCAGAACTGTTGAAGGTCAGAAGGTTTAGTGGCATCCACCTGGAAGCTTAGGTTTACTGGATAAAAAGCATACCTGGCAGGATGAAACCCACTTTGTTCTTTTGACTCTGCTATAGACTGTGCAATGTTAACCCCTTTAGCTGTCATCTTAAATGCAAACTATGACTCACTGCTTGTGGAACACCTCTGAAATTATATATACAAACTTCTCCATTAATATCTAAACACATCATATAAACTGAGGCAAGGACATATCATCCTATCACAGTAGTAATATCACTACACCAATACCAGCTATGGAAAATAACCCTTATTTCAGCTAGAGTCATGAAAAAACAATAAGATAGGGAAAAATTAGATTTTAGTTATGATTGTTAGGGTAACCAAAGATACATCTCAGGGTAGGCAAGACAAAGATATCTTTAAAGACTCAGAAAAATATTTAGCTGAAAGTAATTTAAGATGCTGAAAACAGTATTCTCCTGTCTGACATTTTAGTACCAAATCCAAGGTACTCTCTTTATAACGAGCAGGGAGATGAAGGCTCCTCCACAGAGCAAGTCAGCCCAACCAACCAGGGCCCCTCAGAAGTCTCTCAGAGGGGACCACAGTATCAAATCTTAGGCAGCTAAATACTTAATCTCTGTTCCTAATGTTAGGAAAACATGTATTGCATCCTAAATCCTTAAATATATATATATGCTGGCCTGCATATAAATCTAGTTTGCTCAATTTGCTAGGCAAGCATTGAACTCTAAGTTAAATGGTTACTTAAATGTTCCAAGCTCTCTTTTAAAGGTAAAGCCACAGGATGGGTACATGCTCTCCAAATGTTAGCAATTTAGAGGTTAAATAGCTGAAGAAAAGAGATTAAAAAAACAGGGCAGGGGTCAGTATTTCGTGCAGACACAATATGAAAAATGAGATCTTACTAGATCTCAGCAAATATGAAAGAAAATGGTTAAGCAGCTTAGGGAGCATGGCTAAATTCCACTGATTAGGAATGACACGCTGGTGTTTAAGAATTGCTTCCTTTGGGCCACCTGCCATGAGTGCTGGTTTAGAAAGGTTTAAATCACAAATGAGTTTGGTAATTACTTGGATTGGCTAGCATAATGTGAAGCAAACATAAGGTTAACCAGCAAAACAATTAGAGTGGAATGCAGAATATGCTTGATTCAGAAACAAAAGACAAAATTTCCATGTTTTTCCAGTTGTTTTTCTACATGGCATGTAGAATTATTTAACCAACAGATTTATTTTTTTTTCCTGGAAATCTAAGGGTAGAGCCCTAAAAGCTGAGCCTCAAATGCATCTACTACACATACACGCTGCAAGAGAAAGAGAAAACACTCTATTCTGTCCTGAAAATAAATACAAACTCAACTTGGACTAAAGCTCACTGAGGTTCAATAATCTAACCTTGTAATCTTCCTGAACAAAAAATCCTGATCATTCCAGGTTTTTGTGTAAAAGCAATGTTTTTTCCAGTGTTCCCAAAGGGAAAACTGAAAGCCATTCTGGTCATATGCTGTCCGTAGTCTTGAGCAGAAGGAAGCTAAATACAGTTATTATTCAGGTCTCTTTATAGCTTTAAAGGAACTATATTACTGTTTAATGTTCTACATGAAAACTTCCAATTACTTTAATTCACTGTCTTTCTCCGTTTTGTATTGACCAAAAGTTTTTTCTTTCTATGCTTTTGTTCTAATGAGCACGTATCTTCCAAAATGAGTGCACTTTGTAAAGACAGAAAATAAAGGCAAGATATCCAGATGTCTTGCTGGTCTCCAGAATGATAAACAGAAAAATCATTGTATTTAATCTGCATTAAGTATTTCTGTCTGACTACAGGGTTACTAATAATTAACCTTGCGTGTCAACTCCTGTTCTATGGACTGCTGATTTTGTAAATTCATGTTCACATTGAAAGGATTAAAAGCATAGTTCAGCAGATTACAGTGCATTATCAGAGTGGGCAATTACTTTGGTCTGATTCAATTATAATTCTTGTTCCTGTTACAAGTATAGAAAATATCAGCTTAAGAAGAACAGGGCTGAAAACTTTTTTTCTGTGCACCCAACACTTCTAAATACAAACAACAAAAATAAATGTTTGCAAGCTGGCTATACAGGAGGCTGAAGATACCTGTATTCCATCCTAGTAAGTACATGCTCATACAATCTTCTTTTGATATCATCCATAGGCAGCTGTGCCTATGGATGCATAGGCAGCACAGCACTCCTACAAAGAGTCAGTCTAAAATAAATGCAATCTAATGCATTAGTGCATCAAGCACACGATAAAGCAAACCACATAAGAAAACAGGAAAAAAAATAAATCTATTATTTGTCTGACCCCTGCTGTGTGTGAAGAGTTAACTTGGAGAAGATGTTCCTGACCCATGAAATACCCTTACAAATATATCCCTATCAGTAACTCTCTAAGCCCTCTGTGAGGACAAGCATACACCAGCACGTGTAAAGCTGTTATGTCACTGCACGATAGCAGAAGCTCGGAACAATCCAGGGAAGTATCCCCAGGGTACCAGTGGCACGACAGAAGCTTGCAAAAGCAATTGGCTGCAGAGCCTGGATCCTTGATTCCAGCGCTTTTGTTCACAAACTACCCTCTTTCACTCCATTTGGACTTTCATTCAGCGTATTTAAAAACAAAGACCAGAAAAATATAAACAAAGTTTTAAAAACTAATTTATCATCGAAGCCAGAAACAATGATAGGACATGCGCTTCTGGATTTCTCTGTGTGATGCTGCACAACCACCTGGGTACAGAACACCTAGTATCAACCTAATAGGTTAACAAACACCTAGTATTTACCTGAAAAATTAGCACGTGAGCTGAATAATTTTTTTACCTCACCGTTAGCTTCAGCAACCGTAAGTTGAGACACTACAATATTACACATGCTCAGTTAGAGATCTATGCAATACGTACTGGTGGCCCCCGGGGTCCTGTCGGACCTGCTTCTCCCTCTGGCCCCCGTTCACCCTATTTTCAGGATAGGAAGAACACAACAAATTTGAAAAATCATTTCTTGTCCAATGCAAAACTTTTCATTTTTCTAGATTTTTTGAATAAGATCAATGATCTTACCGGTTTACCAGAATTTCCCATCAAACCTGGCACACCAGGTGGACCTCTGTTACCCTGTTGGACAAAATGTGAAAAATATTAGCTAAGCCAATGGTTTACTGTTGCATTTAAAAAAAAAAAAAAAGTAAGGAAATCAATAAAATCAAAAAAAGTCAGCCACATTAATGTTTTAGCTTCCATCTTTATTTTAGTTTTCATTTAACTTTCACCTAATTCCTTCTATCTAATTTTTCAAAAGTCAGATTTTAGTTCTTTTGTTGTTTACATACTGACAAACCCCAAATAGACTTGACTGCTGCTCTCAAATACTGAAGAACAATATAATTCTATGTAATCTATTTTTCTTTTTCAATTACTTATAACTAACCTTAAACATCATTGTCTAAAGCATTCCATAGTCTCAATCATACAGTACCTTTTTAAACTCCATTGGAATTGATGCTTCAATTTGGTGGCAGCTATAAATATTATTATGAGACCCCTCATTTCAAACTGTAGTGAGGTAACCATGTCACGTGCTTCCTTTAGCAACAATTTCCACAAATTTAAAAGGAAATGGCTTTTTTAAGGTATTATTTAATGCCTGGGAGCATTAAAACCATATCATGTAGCAAAATAATCATGAAAAAGCACAGGACAAAGTTGATAAAAGAATATATTTAATACTTTCAGCCAAAGACTTGTCACCTACTACAACAGAAAGTTAACAATTTCACTGAATACTTTAGAACTTGATAAGTGCAAGTACAGTATTATAAGAAAGCCAATACTCAATTTGATTTACCTTTGGGCCAGGAATGCCCTTTACACCTGGAGAGCCTGGTAAACCCTGAAAGAAATAACATTTACAGAGTTTATTTGTTGTTAAGGGAATTGGAAATGGTGTTAAAGAACATCTCTCTCATCTTAAAGTATTTCTAGTCCTTTAACTTTTTTGTTTTAATCCTTGAACGGACCAAGCTTGAATTCTTTGTATTTACAAATTACCAGATAAGGAGTGTTATTCCTACTTCATAAATTGGCAAAAGGAGCATGGAAGAGTGAGGCGTTGTGGCTTTTTCTGTCTTAGACTACAAATAGATTCTTTTTCCCAGTATTCTGAGACTGGAGGTAGAGAATTTAATGGATGCTTTCTGTATGCATTTCATCCCCTCCTCATTTCTGTGTGATACAGCTCATAGCACATATGCTTTTACCAAATTTTCTTCCAAGTTTAAGAGCTCACTTCATATGACAAGTTTACTTCCAGTTATGTATTAATAAAGCTCCCCCACTATATCCTCAGAGCAATTACTCCTATAGCATAGTGTTCCAAAGAAGTTTCTATTTAGCTTTTGACAATTGGCACAGTTTTCAAACTCGTTCAGTTAATGTGCAAGAATTACCTTCTGAAAGAGTCCATGACGCGCTACTGATGCCCTATAACTTCACCACAGGGGATACACTAGAAAACTTGCTCCCCCTCTCCCTCCCACCCCCCACCCCACAGAAAGAAGTGTGAGTGTGATGCATTCCAGATGGGCTGAGCCAGCAGAGTATCAAAAAGAGACAATTGTTCACCTAAGGTAGGTTAGACTGGCTGGTCAGATCTTCCAGCTCACCCTGGGAATCCCTTTGGCCCTAGTCAATCCAATGAGACCAGCACTAATTGTGGGGTCACACCATCATATCCACGGGGTCTCAGGTATAACAAACCCTAAAAGAATTGCAAACTGGCCACAAACATTTTGTTCGGAGGAGACTGAGCTCTTTACTACCGTATCATCAGGAGGTTTAGGCATTTGTGCAGAAGTTTTGGATACACAGAATTTCCTCTTGCATTTACACATATTCTTCCTGAGCCTTTTGCTTAGGTTTTCACTTAAATTACTCCAACGTCAGCATCAAATTAATCTATATATGGTGGTTTTGTGGTTTGAACTGAGCTAACATTCAAAGGTAAAATACCAGATACTTACTGGCAGTCCCTGAAGCCCTGCATCACCTGGAGCTCCGGGTTTTCCTGGTTCACCCTAAAAAACATTTTAAGTTGTAATTTATGCAAATCAAACAAAATGGAAAATTTTATTTCTGGAACACAGAGCTGGATCTGTAGGATGGGAAAGTTCATTCAGTGGCCCTAATTAGGTCCATAAAACCTTGGGCAGCAGCACAATAAAAAGCCATAAATGACTGAATAAATCTAGGGTTCTACCAAAGCTCGGATATATGCCAACTGGGTCTTACTTTTGCTCCAGGCATTCCAGGGATCCCTTCCCGGCCATCAACTCCTGGTAAGCCCTTGAAAGAAAAAAAAAAAAAAAGAAAAAAATATGAATGTATCGTTAGAGACATTTCACCCAAGCACTCTAATACACAAATTAGCACGACATGAAGCAAATAAAGAAATGAAATATACATACACACTCTCCTTTAGGCCCAGGGAGACCATTTATTCCTCTTGTACCTTGAGGGCCCTAAGAATAATAATACTTTTTAAAAATTAAAATAAACACATTGAAATGACAGATGCAAATTCAGATGCCATTACTTTGAGAGTACCAATTATGTTGCATGTTTATATGCTATAAATAACCCATGTTTGCAACTGAACATGAGTTGAAATTTGTCTGTGCTCACCCTTTCTCCCTTTGGACCTGCCTCTCCCAGTGGACCTCTCTGTCCTTGATCCCCCTACAAGAAAAAAAAGTTATTTTAGCAATAAAACCAGAATGAATTACTTGTAGTATTAGCTAAAACCTCCAGTAAATCAACAACAGGATGCGTGGTAGCATTCACAAAGAATGAAAAGATGACAATGTCTACCCCATAACTCCTTGGGGACAGTAAGAGATTCTGGACTTGACATTACTGTCATATCATTTTTTCATCTATGGGAAATCAAGGATTAATCAGAGGCTTTTCTGATTCACAGCCACAAAGTTTCAGGACCTAGTAGCTAACTGGGTAGACCCTGGGAAGTATTTGGCTAAAACTTATTCTACTTACAGGTACACCAGGAAGACCTTGAGGACCAGGCTCACCATCAAGCCCACGAGCTCCCTGCAAAACAAGGAGATAATACAAATCATTAAAATGAAGTGTTGAAACACTAAAAACTTATGCTCCCTCCTGGTTTTCTGGGCGCTGCAAATTCTCTACAGCCAAGGTTTTCTTACAGCTCTAATTTTAAAAAAATGAAAAACAAAAAAAATGCCACAAAGGAATTTTGGCAAACTTAATTTTTTTAAATCTATGAAATTATGGTTATGAAAGCCATTATTTTTGACTGTGGAAATATGTCATTCAAAATGACAGTTTATTCTCTAAAAAAAAAAAAAAAATCACATTGGAGATAGAGGAGGTAGAACTTTTCATGGTACTTTAGAAAATATCTGTGCCTACCTTAATACTATATTCTTCACCACATAATAGAATAGCGTCCAAATGGGAACAGAAATGATCAAGTGCAGTGCAGCTATTTTTATCACATATGTTCCAAGGAAACAATGCAATTGCTATACTGTAAGTTATTTTTAATGGAGAGAAGAAAATATGTTTTCAAAGATTCACAGAGAATAAGGAACTCCTTTGTCAGATGTAATAAATATTTCAAATAGACAAAACAGCATGAAAATGTAGGCAACTAACTATGAAGAATTAGAAGATACAAACAAAGCCAGAAAAGCAAAGAAAGTAATAGCTTAGCAAAGGTGTCTGAGAGGAAGCATCACTCATGAGAAGGTTCATAATCAGGAAAAAATTGATGTTGTTGCTGAACACAGACGATCACAGAATAAGATTTCCGTGGTTTCATTTCTGGAGAAGGAGACAATGGCACAATTGCTACACTTTACTCCTTCCAAAATTTTTGCCATAGAGATTTAGCAAGATATCAGGCTACAGATGTAACAGTTTTGAAATAGCAGTTAGAAACATGTTGATGAACAGCAGGAAAATCACCCAGCAAAGTCAGAGCCCATGTACACACGAATCCCTAATTTAAGGCACAAAAGATCTAAGAGACAGAAAGAATTGAAAAAGAACAAGCTGTCAATAAAAAATCCTGGAAAAAACTGGGACAGTGGAACCAAAAGCCTTCAGAAGATGCAAATCACAAGAGGGACTACTTAATAAAGTTTAGCTTTAATTAAAATGTGTTATAGTTTATAACTGCTATAACTTGCTACCTTGCTAACTACATACTTGCACACATGCCAAAATACTATAAATCCAAGCATCAGAGGGAAAGGTGTAAAGAATATGTGTGCTTCATTAATGACAATGGCCAAGCTGCCTTTCTTCCTAACCAGAAGTAAAGTAGCTATGGAAACAGAGCTGACAGGAGAAAGAAAATGTTGGGGGGAAAAAGGAGAAATTTAAATAAGCTTTAAAAACATTCAGGGGTGTAGATTTTTTTTATCCAGGCCATTTTATGGAAACAAAGGTTAATACTCACTTTGGTACCTTTAGGTCCCATTATACCAGTTATACCTCTTACACCTAGGATGCCCTGGAAATTAAAAGTATATACAAATTATGCTTAAATCTTTTCATCAGAACTATCCTAAGTTTTCAGACAGAAGACATGCTTTCTTTATGCTTATTTTATATTTTCTTAACATAGAAGGAGAAATCCAGCTACTTCTGTATTAGAACTCTTAATTTATATAGTAATTTGATATTTTACAAAACCATCAGGTTGAATGCTACAATCACAAATATGCCTTAAGGACTGAAAACCCCCCTGATTTCTCTTCTCCATTACCACAGAGTTGAAACATTCTCCCTGTGCAGCCTGAGTGAGGGGAACACATGAAGGCCAGATGTGCAAAAGGGTGAAGTTGTCTTAACCGGCGTATAGGCCAGATGCAGGAGAAAGGTACCACCACATTTCAAAGAACTCTAGGGGTAGGCACAATTGAGCAAGGTTTTTGAGAATACAAGTGCCAGGTTTATATGCCTGCCACACCTGAGAGGCTGGATTGAGTAGACATCCAAGCGCAGCAGAGTGTATCGGAACTATCATCACTTCCCGTCAAAATACAGTCTCATGGGAAATTTGGCTTCAATTTTTTCCTCTTCCTGAGAGACTGAAACTACATGACATGTTTCCTCTCTGCAGAGACCAAACCCTCAGCCATAGGTGTTTGCCCTGCAACAGGAATGCTCTTACAGCTGTGTTAATGAAACAGTTACAGGCACTCCAGTGCAGCACAGGCAAACCTACTGATTGACCAGTCTCTAGACGGGCAGCCCTTTTACTTGCTCCAAATGAAGTTAGATGGAATCTTCCACAGAACATTTAAAGCTGTGTCAGCCCAAAACATGAAAAAAATCATGATAATGCAACAGTAACTACAGCAGGCCTACAAGGGAGAGACCCACCCACAGTCTAACCCTTGTTCCAACATCAGAGATGGAAATATGCATGCTGTGGTACGCACTACTGTCAAACAAAAGTGACATCTCTCCCAGAGGGGGCTATCTGATGGAAGTCTGCTTGTCAATGCATCACAGAAAAGTGTTGGATTGCAGGATTGCAGGTGTTGCCATGGAGACCAGACTACTAATCCATTCTATGGATCTGAACCTTACATTCTTTTAGGTAAAGAACATACAAGAAAGCACCACAGAGCCTACAGACTTTCTGTCTGTGTCTCTCCTCTTGGCCACAGGTTGTCTATCTAACATCACTTTCTCCATATTATGAATCCTACATCTTAATCAATTATTTCAAAGCATGTTTGTAAGGTCGTTAACTGGTGAAAAGGTGAATTCAAATGAGTAATGCATTAAAAAAAAAAAAAAAAAAAAATGCGGGGTGGGGAGTAAGTCAATCTCTAATTGGTTTTTAAATCTACTGTGTTATTTCACAGCAATTGAAGAACTTTACCAAACTGCCTGTTCAGCTGTGGTAACCATAAGAAGAGCTCCTCACAAGGAAACAAGCTGAGGAGGTACATGCCAGAACAAAGCAGTGTATCGAAGCAGGAAAAGAAAATGATTCCAAAATCATAGGTGTGATTGAAGGATGCTTCTTTGGCATGCAAAAAGGCAAAAAAGTTAAAAAGAAAAAATAATTTTAAAAATTCTGTTCTTCAGTGGCTGCTACTTCATCCTCAAGTCTTATCTAAGCCTGAATTTCACAGTTAACCATGTTTTAAAGAAATTCTAGCTTTGCAAGGCTGAAGTCATCAAAATCATGGAAAGGAAGACCAATGAAAAATAACCAAAACAAAAAAATCCAACAACAAAGAAAAAAAAACAAAACAAGAAAACAAACAAACAAACAAAAGCCCAACTATGTGCACAACCTAAGCACAACACAAGACTTAGGACAGGAAATACTTTTTAAAATAAGCCTTTCGACTGAACTATTTAGAGCTTTGTGCCAAGCAATAATGTAGCTTTTTGGAGGGACTTAAATAATTCTACTTTCACTCATGGACCACATGGCAGAATAAAGAGAAAGGCATGTGGAGATTTTATAACATCTGTTTTCTTACAATAAGAACAAAAAAGGTAAGACATAATAAAGCAAATGGATAACACTATTTAAGAGGAAATACTTTACTGGAGGGCCTTGAGCTCCCACTTCACCACTGGGTCCTTGGTCCCCTTCTTCACCCTGGGAAAGCAAAAGGAATGCCTCAGTAGCTAACCCGTACCACGGCTAACCCGTACCATGGCTAACCCATACCACAGCTAACCCGAAAGGAATGCCTCAGTAGCTAACCCGTACCATGTCTAACCCGTACCATGGCTAACCCATACCACAGCTAACCCGTACCTACCACGGATAACCCGTACCACG